CAGCACCAGGTGGTGGTGGGGCGAGGAAGCCAACCCCAGCACCAGGTGGTGGTGGTGGGGGGGAGGAAGCCAACCCCAGCAACACCAGGTGGTGGTGGTGGGGGGGGGGCGAGGAAGCCAACCCGAGCAGCACCAGGTGGGGGGGGAGGGGAGGAAGCCAACCCCAGCAGCACCAGGTGGTGGGGCAAGGAAGCCAACCCCAGCAAGACCAGGTGGTGGTGGTGGGGGGGGCGAGGAAGCCAACCCCAGCAGCACCAGGTGGTGGGGCAAGGAAGCCAACCCCAGCAGCACCAGGTGGTGGGGCAAGGAAGCCAACCCCAGCAGCACCAGGTGGGGGGGGAGGGGAGGAAGCCAACCCCAGCAGCACCAGGTGGTGGTGGGGCAAGGAAGCCAACCCCAGCAGCACCAGGTGGTGGTGGTGGGGCGAGGAAGCCAACCCCAGCAGCCCCAGGTGGTGGTGGGGCGAGGAAGCCAACCCCAGCAGCACCAGGTGGTGGTGGTGGGGCGAGGAAGCCAACCCCAGCAGCACCAGGTGGTGGTGGTGGGGCGAGGAAGCCAACCCCAGCAGCACCAGGTGGGGAGGGGAGGGGAGGAAGCCAGAACTGAGAGACGGTGGTCACTGAGCACAGTTGAAGGACGGTGGGTAATGGTCATGGAAGTCTTAGTACTGCTGCCACCACCACTACCACAACACTGCCACCACCACTACCACCACTACTACAACACTGCCACCAACACTGCCACCACTACCACAACTCTGCCACCAACACTGCCACCACTACCACAACTCTGCCACCAACACTGCCACCACTACCACAACTCTGCCACCAACACTAACACCACTACCACAACTCTGCCACCAACACTGCCACCACTACCACAATTTTGCCACCACTACCACCACTACCACAACTCTGCCACCAACACTGCCACCACTACCACATCACTGTGTGTATATATGTATGTATATGTGTGTGTGTGTGTATGTATATGTATGGGTATAAAGTATATATGGAAGCTGATCAGAATTACATTTCACCTCTGTGAATGCACATTAATGACACTATGTAAAAGACACATCGAACACTTTATGTAGGGCATACGTAAATCTGTGTATCTATGTATTTACGTATGTAGGTTAGCTTAGCATTTTAAAAGCACCGAATCACCTTCTGTGGTTGAGTGTTCAATAAACCCTTGAACTATATGTTTAACACTTCTCTAACCCTGTCCATGGAGGACAGAAGAAAATGTATATATGCTGGTTAGCATTGTAAATGTGTGGCCACGTCTGTGGTAGACAATAATAATAATAAAAAACACTGCCACCACTACCACAACACTGCCACCACTACCACAACACTGCCACCAACACTGCCACCACTACCACAACTCTGCCACCACTACCACAACACTGCCACCACTACCACAACACTGCCACCAACACTGCCACCACTACCACAACACTGCCACCACTACCACAACACTGCCACCACTACCACAACACTGCCACCACTACCACAACACTGCCACCACTACCACAACTCTGCCACCACTACCACAACACTGCCACCACTACCACAACTCTGCCACCACTACCACAACACTGCCACCACTACCACAACACTGCCACCACTACCACAACTCTGCCACCACTACCACAACACTGCCACCACTACCACAACACTGCCACCACTACCACAACTCTGCCACCACTACCACAACACTGCCACCACTACCACAACACTGCCACCACTACCACAACACTGCCACCACTACCACAACACTGCCACCACTACCACAACACTGCCACCACTACCACAACACTGCCACCACTACCACAACTCTGCCACCACTACCACAACACTGCCACCACTACCACAACACTGCCACCACTACCACAACTCTGCCACCACTACCACAACACTGCCACCACTACCACAACTCTGCCACCACTACCACAACTCTGCCACCACTACCACAACACTGCCACCACTACCACAACTCTGCCACCACTACCACAACACTGCCACCACTACCACAACACTGCCACCACTACCACAACTCTGCCACCACTACCACAACTCTGCCACCACTACCACAACTCTGCCACCACTACCACAACTCTGCCACCACTACCACAACTCTGCCACCACTACCACAACTCTGCCACCACTACCACAACTCTGCCACCACTACCACAACTCTGCCACCACTACCACAACACTGCCACCACTACCACAACTCTGCCACCACTACCACAACTCTGCCACCACTACCACAACTCTGCCACCACTACCACAACTCTGCCACCACTACCACAACTCTGCCACCACTACCACAACTCTGCCACCACTACCACAACTCTGCCACCACTACCACAACTCTGCCACCACTACCACAACTCTGCCACCACTACCACAACTCTGCCACCACTACCACAACTCTGCCACCACTACCACAACTCTGCCACCAACACTGCCACCACTACCACAACACTGCCACCACTACCACAACTCTGCCACCACTACCACAACTCTGCCACCAACACTGCCACCACTACCACAACTCTGCCACCACTACCACAACACTACCACCACTACCACAACACTGCCACCACTACCACAACACTGCCACCACTACCACAACACTGCCACCACTACCACAACTCTGCCACCACTACAACAACACTGCCACCACTACCATTATCACCACAACACTGCCACCACTACCATTATCACCACAACACTGCCACCACCACCATCACCACAACACTGCCACCACTACAACAACACTGCCACCACCACCATCACCACAACACTACCACCATCACAACACTGCCACCACCACCACAACACTACCACCATCACAACACTGCCACCATTACCATCACCACAACACTACCACCATCACCACAACACTGCCACCACCACCATCACCAAAACACCACCACCATTACCATCACCACAACACTGCCACCGCCACCACAACACTACCACCGCCACCACAACACTGCCACCACTACCACCGTCACCACAACACTACCACCATCACCACAACACTATCACCACTACCACCGTCACCACAACACTACCACCATCACCACAACACTATCACCACTACCACCATCACCACCACCACAACACTACCACCATCACCACAACACTACCACCATCACCAATGAGAAGATACAACTAACAATTTACCACAAAGATGACCACAAACTTGCTTAAGAAACACTCTGGAGACAGCAGCAAAGCGCCTTAAGAGAGAGTAAGGTCGTGTATGTCTGCACACGCCCACTTGGGCACTGTCAGCCCCAACCATCTCAGTATATAGGCAAGACAACAACGTCTCTCTCTGGGCGATTACCACTGCACAAACAACAGGGCTCCATCAAGGACCATAATCTCTCACCACCACACCATCGCCAGACACACCATGACAACCAACACTCAAATAATCGACATATAACGACGCCAGGAGACCCGACATCAAAATTATATATACATTTTTTATTTTATTTATTATGGACTCAGCATGGCATATAACGTTCATTTTCTATTATAGAAAATTTAGACAGAGTATAGTTTACTGTAAAAAAATAGACAATGTGGCCTTCAAAATATGCGCAAAATTTAGACGCAAAAATGTATAACTCTCAAAGTTATGGGTTTATGATAAATGTTATAATAACCTTAGAACTAACAACTTTACATATAATATATAAAAATGGTGAGAATCGCTCAGAAACCGATTTTTTTTTTTTACTAGGTTTCAAAGTTGAATATCCTGTTCATACAGATAAATGAAGGTAAACTTCTAGACAAATACAGTAGTTCGAATTGATGTCATATCTTGTAAGTTTTAATAAATATTGCTTGGTAATCGTTCTCGAGTATGTGAAAGTTGGTCAAGATGTGTTGAAGAAAAAATACCCCCTCCCCCCCCCCCCAAAAAAAAAAAAAAAAAAATTATTATTATATATATATATATATATATATATATATATATATATATATATATATATATATATATATATATTATAATTATATATATTTATATAATTATAATTATATATATATCTATATAATTATATATATCCATTATAATTATATATATCTATATAATGTGTGTATATCACGAAGATAAACACGTGATTAAAAATATGACAGTGTCAGACCACGGAGGAAAATTGAAACAAGAATTTCCTTAAGTACTTTCGTATATTAATACATCTTTAGAAGGAGTAAAGATGTATTAATATACGAAAGTACTTAAGGAAATTCTTGTTTCAATTTTCCTCCGTGGTCTGACACTCATATTTTTAATCACGTGTTTATCTTCGTGATATACACACATTATATAGATATATATAATTATAATGGTTTAGAGGATATATATTCTTTATATAAGTGATAAGAGCTACAACAATATCAGATTATAAACACAGGAGAGGAAACAAAGGTGTCAGTGACCCAGGAGGCACGAGCCGCACATCCACGGTGTGGACCTGCACATTATCCAACACTTCCACTGACCACCTCTCATTATTGTCATCACTACTGCTTGTGCATTTTTTTTTTTTTAGAAATTCATATAAAATCCCTTTTTAAACATATTGGGATAAAATTTTCCTGACGCTGATGCCAAATAAGGTGAGATTTGTTTAACAGTCTTCACTATAGTATATTTGGAGGAATATTTTTATGAAGCGGGCGCCTGAAGCCAGTGTATGGGTGCAGCCTTAGACGAGTGTTGGGTGAGCGAGGAGAGTACACACACACTCACCTTACACAGGTACACACAGGTGTGGTGAAGGTACACACGCACCTTACACAGGTACACACAGGTGTAGTGAAGGTACACACACACCTTACACAGGTACACACAGGTGTAGTGAAGGTACACACTCACCTTACACAGGTACACACAGGTGTGGTGAAGGTACACACTCACCTTACACAGGTACACACACAAGTGTGAAGGTACACACTCACCTTCCAGCCGAGGTTCTCAAAGAAGGTGCAGAGTCTGGACTGTCCGGTGGTCTTGCCCCCACACGGTCCTGGAACAACAGTACACTCGGGTTACTACAAGTACTACACCCACCACCCGCCCTACACCACCACACACGGCCCTGGAACAACAGTACACTCGGGTTACTACAAGTACTACACCCACCACCCGCCCTACACCACCACACACGGCCCTGGAACAACAGTACACTCGGGTTACTACAAGTACTACACCCACCACCCGCCCTACACCACCACACACGGCCCTGGAACAACAGTACACTCGGGTTACTACAAGTACTACACCCACCACCCCCCCTACACCACCACACACGGCCCTGGAACAACAGTACACTCAGGTTACTACAAGTACTACACCCACCACCAGCCCTACACCACCACACACGGCCCTGGAACAACAGTACACTCGGGTTACTACAAGTACTACACCCACCACCAGCCCTACACCACCACACACGGCCCTGGAACAACAGTACACTCGGGTTACTACAAGTACTACACCCACCACCCCCCCTACACCACCACACACGGCCCTGGAACAACAGTACACTCAGGTTACTACAAGTACTACACCCACCACCAGCCCTACACCACCACACACGGCCCTGGAACAACAGTACACTCGGGTTACTACAAGTACTACACCCACCACCCGCCCTACACCACCCCACACGGCCCTGGAACAACAGTACACTCAGGTTACTACAAGTACTACACCCACCACCCCCCCTACACCACCACACACGGCCCTGGAACAACAGTACACTCGGGTTACTACAAGTACTACACCCACCACCCCCCCTACACCACCACACACGGCCCTGGAACAACAACAATTGATTGACGAATAATTTTAGTTAAGAATCGACAAGAAAAGAATGTCTTGGTAAATATGATTCCGTATGAAGTGCAGATTTCTTTAAGAACACTGCTAGTAAGAACTCTTACGTTGATAAAGAGAAATATATTGACACAGTTTTTGAAAATCTTGATAAATGACTAAACACACTAACTAATTGGTTAAGGGAATAGTTCTACGTTTGATAATAATTGACAAAGAATCAGTTGCTGAATGGAAGAAACAGTTTAAAGAATTAGTAACAAGATGGACAGAGAACATGTAAGGAGAAGCGATGTATACAGAACCTGGAGAATACGACAAAGAACACAATATGAAGAATGAACAATGAACTTGGGAAGAACATGCTAAGAACATTATGAGACCATGATAGAGAACACAGAACGTGAGGGGAATTTGTAGAGAACATGAGAGAATGTGATGATCACAGTGAATATGCGGGGAATATGAACTGAACTGGCAGAGAACATGATGGGTACGTTTGCAGAACATGGAGAGAACATGAGCATGCGATGAACACGGAGAAACAGGTGAAAAATATGATTTGAACGTGCTGAGAACATGAATAGTGAGTATAAAAGTTGACCAGAGAACTTAGAGAGACTACACAAATACAGTAAAATTATTGGGTAATAGTTGTACTTTTAAACTCTGGGGAGGGAGGGAGACGAGATGGTGAAGGGGGAGAGATGCAGGGAGTAGGGGAGCAGGGAGTGGGGGAGGGGAGGCAAAGGGTGTGGGGAGTGGGGGGGGGGGAGGTAAGGTGTGACATGACCGTGTCACTATGACCTCGTTAGTGATCATTTACATAGCTGAGTAAACAAAGCATATTGAAGGAGTGGATATGTTTACTTTGATAAGATGATAGACTGGAGAGCATCTTGATCTGAAACAATTAACTTTGGTGAACATTGAACTTGGGAAGAGGACAAGAGCTGAAACTTGGGTAATATTGTTTTTACTGTCTGAAATACGGCAGTTTTAAATCTCAGGGGATTTGGTAAGATACTAAAGAAGGTACGAGACGGGGTTAAGGTGGGGGACGGGAGCTGGAGCTCGGTAATTAATGGTTTGGATCTATTTTACTATGTCTGAAATACAGCGATTTTAAATTTCCGGAACATTGTTCAGGTATTAACGAAGATACGAGAGAGGGTTAAGGCGAGGACAGGAGCTAGAGCTCGGTAATTGTTTGGAGTTATTGTACTACATCTGAAATATGACTTTAAAATTGGACTAAAATTGTGGTATTAATAATGACTCTACACTTATAAACGTATAGGGCTGGGTCAAAGAGCTAATATCTGATGAACTTTTAAAATATATCTCCTCATTAATTATATCCATGTGAACTTTTAAGAACTCGGTGAGGATTAAAACTTGGATTCCTGTTTTTGTTTTTGGTCTTAAAATGGTCTTTACCACATTTTGGTCTTCAACTGGACACTGACAATATTTCGGTATCAGCTGGTCTCTGACTAATTTCGGTCTTAAAAATGGACTCGATCATATTTTTGGTCTTAAAATGGTCTGTCAAAATTTGGGCTTAAACTGGTATCTGTTCAATTTCGGTCTTATATTGTATTTTGAACAATTTTGGTCTTTTACTGGACTCTGAAGAAATTCAGTCTTTAACTCGTCTGACTAATTTTCGGTCTTAAAACTGACACTGAAGACATTAGGTCTTAAATGGTCTTTTGAGAAAGTTTGGTCTGAAGCCTCACCGATCATCACCCCCCCCCCCAAAATGTGCATTGATGCTTCATCCCTACTGTGTACACTGTTGCTGTAGTCTTGGTGTACACTGGTGCTGTAGTCTTGGTGTACACTGTTGCTGTAGTCTTGGTGTACACTGCAGCTGTAGTCTTGGTGTACACTGGTGCTGTAGTCTTGGTGTACACTGGTGCTGTAGTCTTGGTGTACACTGTTGCTGTAGTCTTGGTGTACACTGTTGCTGTAGTCTTGGTGTACACTGGTGCTGTAGTCTTGGTGTACACTGGTGCTGTAGTCTTGGTGTACACTGGTACTGTAGTCTTGGTATACACTGGTGCTGTAGTCTTGGTGTACACTGGTGCTATAGTCTTGGTGTACACTGGTACTATAGTCTTGGTGTACACTGGTACTGTAGTCTTGGTTTGTGTACACTGTTGCTGTAGTCTTGGTTTGTGTACACTGTTGCTGTAGTCTTGGTGTACACTGGTACTATAGTCTTGGTGTACACTGTTGCTGTAGTCTTGGTGTGTGTACACTGTTGCTGTAGTCTTGGTGTACACTGTTGCTGTAGTCTTGGTGTACACTGGTACTATAGTCTTGGTATACACTGGTGCTGTAGTCTTGGTGTACACTGGTGCTATAGTCTTGGTGTACACTGGTACTATAGTCTTGGTGTACACTGGTACTGTAGTCTTGGTGTACACTGGTGCTGTAGTCTTGGTGTACACTGTTGCTGTAGTCTTGGTGTACACTGTTGCTGTAGTCTTGGTGTACACTGTTGCTGTAGTCTTGGTTTGTGTACACTGTTGCTGTAGTCTTGGTTTGTGTACACTGTTGCTGTAGTCTTGGTTTGTGTACACTGTTGCTGTAGTCTTGGTGTACACTGTTGCTGTAGTCTTGGTGTACACTGTTGCTGTAGTCTTGGTGTACACTGTTGCTGTAGTCTTGGTGTACACTGTTGCTGTAGTCTTGGTGTACACTGTTGCTGTAGTCTTGGTGTACACTGTTGATGTAGTCTTGGTGTACATTGTTGCTGTAGTCTTTGTGTGTGTACACTGTTGCTGTAGTCTTGGTGTACACTGTTGCTGTAGTCTTGGTGTACACTGGTGCTGTAGTCTTGGTGTGTGTACACTGTTGCTGTAGTCTTGGTGTGTGTACACTGGTGCTGTAGTCTTGGTGTGTGTACACTGGTGCTGTAGTCTTGGTGTGTGTACACTGTTGCTGTAGTCTTGGTGTACACTGTTGCTGTAGTCTTGGTGTACATTGTTGCTGTAGTCTTGGTGTGTGTACACTGTTGCTGTAGTCTTGGTGTGTGTACACTGGTGCTGTAGTCTTGGTGTGTGTACACTGTTGCTGTAGTCTTGGTGTGTGTACACTGTTGCTGTAGTCTTGGTGTGTGTACACTGTTGCTGTAGTCTTGGTGTACACTGGTACTGTAGTCTTGGTGTACACTGGTGCTGTAGTCTTGGTGTACACTGGTGCTGTAGTCTTGGTGTACACTGGTGCTGTAGTCTTGGTGTACACTTGTGCTGTAGTCTTGGTGTACACTGGTACTGTAGTCTTGGTGTACACTGTTGCTGTACACTGTTGCTGTAGTCTTGGTGTACACTGTTGCTGTAGTCTTGGTGTACATTGTTGCTGTAGTCTTGGTGTGTGTACACTGTTGCTGTAGTCTTGGTGTGTGTACACTGGTGCTGTTGTCTTGGTGTGTGTACACTGGTGCTGTAGTCTTGGTGTGTGTACACTGTTGCTGTAGTCTTGGTGTACATTGTTGCTGTAGTCTTGGTGTGTGTACACTGTTGCTGTAGTCTTGGTGTGTGTACACTGTTGCTGTAGTCTTGGTGTACACTGGTGCTGTAGTCTTGGTGTACATTGTTGCTGTAGTCTTGGTGTACACTGTTGCTGTAGTCTTGGTGTACACTGGTGCTGTAGTCTTGGTGTACACTGGTGCTGTAGTCTTGGTGTACACTGGTGCTGTAGTCTTGGTGTACACTGGTGCTGTAGTCTTGGTGTACATTGTTGCTGTAGTCTTGGTGTACACTGTTGCTGTAGTCTTGGTGTACACTGGTGCTGTAGTCTTGGTGTACACTGGTGCTGTAGTCTTGGTGTACATTGTTGCTGTAGTCTTGGTGTAGACTGTTGCTGTAGTCTTGGTGTACACTGGTGCTGTAGTCTTGGTGTGTGTACACTGGTGCTGTAGTCTTGGTGTACACTGTTGCTGTAGTCTTGGTGTGTGTACACTGTTGCTGTAGTCTTGGTGTACACTGTTGCTGTAGTCTTGGTGTACATTGTTGCTGTAGTCTTGGTGTGTGTACACTGTTGCTGTAGTCTTGGTGTACACTGGTGCTGTAGTCTTGGTGTACACTGGTGCTGTAGTCTTGGTGTACACTGGTGCTGTAGTCTTGGTGTACACTGGTGCTGTAGTCTTGGTGTACACTGGTGCTGTAGTCTTGGTGT